CCTGGTTTCAGAGAACACCTTTAATAGCCACTTTGAAGATGCTTTGTCATTAGGGCCTGCTTTAGAAGCTTTAAATTGAGAGCCCCTAGTTAAGCTAGGCTGATTATTATGCAGTTAAATGGACTACAGTCTTGCTACAAGATAGAGCGTGAGGCTTAAGGATGCCCTGCACTCAGGCAGTTTATGCACTTAACCGATATGCACGCAGCCAGGGTTTGTTACAATGGTAAAGATTTTGGGGTGATCTTTTTTACTGGCAATGTTTATCACCCCAAAGATCCTTGCTTCACAGCATTCCCAGGCCATCACAGATACAAATCACTCTAACATGACAAAGGTGAGCAACTGGGGAAAAAACCGGGAGCAGCACAGGGCTATGCAGTTGAACAAATTAAGCACTTAACCAATATGCAAGGAAGTGGGGCATGTTATGGCAGTTTCAGAGGAAGGGGGCTTTAGGCTGAGGTTTTCCATTCACCCTAATCCAGATATTTTGGGTGGCTCTGAGAAACAGTCACCTTGATGTAAGCAAACTGGACTGCAGGTGAAGACCCAGGCATAAAAAAAAAAAAGCGTCACCCCAGAGGCACCCAGCGACTTCAGCGGGACACGGTCTTGCCTCAGGGATGTGGGGGACCCAGTCCTGTCTGCTTGCCTTGATTTGATCCCATTTACAAGCCCTATATTTCTCCAGGCACTCTGGATGCATACCTGGGGTGAAAATGAAGGGCCTGAGGCAGAAACCATGCAGAGCATCCTCTTCTTCCTCCTCACCCAGACACCAAGCATTGCCTCACCTCCACAATTTGACCTGTGGAAAGAAAGCACATTAGCCAGCGAGCAACAGAAACTGGCAACGTAAAACACCCTATCCCTTTCCCCTGGGCTGGTTTTAGCAAGAAACCACAGTGTCACTGTTGACCCAGGCTTACCTCACTTTACCAGGCTGCAGGGGCACACATCCTCTTCTCCAGCTCCCTCTTCCTGGCTCGAACACAAGAACACACCACCCCAAAAACCCTCTCTCAGTCCTCATCTCTCCCAGCCTCAGCCAGGACCCTGCTTTGCTGCACCTGCATCAGGCAGCCATGCGACACCCAGCCAGCTGAGCCTGGTGAACTCATCACTGCTGCTCACAAGCACCACAGGGGCCACACATCACCTGTGCGCTACTGCCCAGGGCTCTGCAGACCCACAACCACTTGCAGGCACCTGTTGTGGTCTGACTTGAGCTGTTTCAACCCAAAGATCAATGTTCAAAGGGATCCTAGAGCCTGACCTCTCTGGTTACTGCCCCGCAAGGCAATGCTGATTGCCAGGCAGCATAGGAAGCCCTCATCTGTCGTTGCTGCAATGTCTCTGCCTGCACAGAAAGCTTGTCTGGGGCTGTTCATCCCACAGCCGTCCGGCACACCTGCTATTATTTAGTTATTTTTATCTTAACACAAAGGACAGGAAGAAAGCATGCAAGAGGCTCCTGGTTTTATTTTTTCTGGCCTGCTGTTCCCTGCTGGCATCTCATGCTGTCCACACACCCCTCCCAGCCCGACTCATTTTGCTGATTCTAAATTTCTCCCTTTCCCCCGCCTTTTGTTAATGCTGTTTCATTGCCATTAATGAGAAGCCTGAAACAGCACCATTTCTCAGGCCCCTTCCCAGCTGCTCGCCTCACCTGTGCAGAGGGCCGCCAAACTTAGGCCTCCACTGCACGGAAAAAGGATGGACATGATGAACAGCAGGGTTTTGCTATGCCAAAAAGGACCTGTGCACCACGCAGGTTGTAGCTAATACATTTTATAGGCTGCCCACCTTGCCTGGAGGGGTCTGAACCTGCATGTCTCACTCCTCAGCAAGTGTCCTAGCCAGCAAGCCTTGGGCTAGGCAGAGCCCAGAGCACCTCAGGCTCTAACTTAGTCCTTATTTCAGGAAACCAGAGTTGTGCAGTTCTTATTCAGGCAACCGACAAAGGCCAAGATCTTCGAAGGCAGCCGGTGATTTCAGATGCTCTGTATTCTGACACCCAGTTTTAGGCACCTTCAAGGGGCCTGTTTCTCTTGCTCAGGATTTTGATAGCCAGGCCCCTTGAAGGTGCCAAAAATGCTGCACCAGAAATGGAGATGCCTCAAACAGGTGAGTCACTCAGCCTAAGTGAGACCTTCTGGGTCATGGTTTGTGAAATCCATTGCTAGAACAAGCAAAGCACTTCAGGAACTGTTGCAAGGGCAGGGATGTAAAAGGGTTTCAAAAGGGGCTATTCTGATCCTCTGATTTGCCCTTCTGCCAACATCCCTTGTACAGTTTTACTCCATTAAGCAAAATATCTTGAATCATCTGCAGTACAGAGAATTATTCTTCCACACACTCAGACATATAGAATATATATATATATCCACCCACAGCATCACGACTGACATTTGATCAAAACAAAAATCCACAGGCAAGACGACAAGCTTAGGGGAAAGAAATGGTCATATTGGCCCATTTGAATTCTGCCTCCTTGTTTGTCTCATGTACACATCCAATTGCATGCCCAACATTTCTTTTTTTTTTTTTTTTTTTTTGATAGCCCACATTTGTGGCAGATAACAAGATACTTCATCATTAAAAAAGTGAATTCATTTCTGGCTTGTGTAATGAGTTGGATTAATGTGTTACCTTTTCAGTTTGGGGACCTCAATTTAAATCCTTTCCTGTTAAACTTGATCAGGAAAGAGCCCAGCCTGGCCCCAATACAGAAATTATTCTATACAGTCTGACTGGTTAATAATTAATTTCACTTGATGATTCCCAAAGCTGAATGAAATGCATACAGTTTGGAAGTCTGTAGACCTGTTCATATTTCTCCTTTCCTCTGGAATGGTGATTTTGCAGTGGTTTCTCCACTGTCTTTTCCCATCTTCACCCCTCCTCCTTCCTATTCTCCCCTCCTGCCTTATTTTCCCCCAAATGTTTTATTAATTAAATACACAGACACAACTAAAGGAGAGAATGAGAGATACAGCAGAGGTGATTAGTTCAGGATCAGTTTGCATTTAGTCATGGAGCAGTCTCTATGCTGTAGTTTTAATAAATGTGAACAAAGAACAATATACATACAACATTTTAGGATGCAGAAACTAATATAGCAACAAGACAGCACTGTGCATGTGTGCGAAGAAACGACTTCAGTCTTGGCACAACTAATTATTGTTTCACCTGTCGTATAAAACTGGTTCTTCCTTTTTGATCAACTTTGCCTCATGTCCCAGGCAGAAGACTGAGGACCTGGGCACTTGATTTTTTATTTCTGGCCTCCGCCACCGACTTCCTGAGGCACCCCAGGCAACTCACTTCACCATACTGTGCCACAGCTTGCCTATTTATCAAAGGGGCCTGGTTTGTTGTGAGGCTTAATTAATGAATGCCCACGTGTCATTTGGAGTTCTTCAGCTGGAAGATGGTGTAGATCTACATGGGGTTATTAGTTTCAGACATTTCTTTTTTAACCTTATTACCCATCTATCCATCCATCTCACATGATGTTATGCCATGATTATTTATTGCCTGGAGCCCATTGTGTTTTAAGCCTAGTTAGATTTTTCTTTCAGGTTTTTATAAACAGGCTGATTCTGGACATGGATCCTCAAAAAAGGTCCAAACATTTGTTGTCTGGTGAATGAGTTGACTGGCAAGAAGAGAGGTTATCTGCCTTAACCCTGTAAAGGCCACCAGAAGATGCAATCCTGTTCAGCTAAATAGGACATGGGGATGGTTGTTTTTATTGAAACCGTGATCAATAATTCATCTTAAAACACATTCTCTTCCCGATTACTCCCCTCGCGCATCTTCCCGAGAAGGCTCCCGTATGTATATTTGATTGGTTAACTGAAGAAGAGTGTTCACCTTCAAGGTGAATAGCTTTAAAGAACAGAGGTCATGGAAAATGAATCACACAACAGCCACTTGGACCTATCTTCCCAGAATCACCAAAACCAAAAGCTGATGCCACTGAGAACTAGATGGCAAAATCAATTGGCTATTGTGAAAAAAACAAAAAACAAAACAAACACAAAACCTTGTTTGAAAGTGGGAAAGGTTAAGGAGATAAAATTGCTCCTGCAAAGGCCTTTTGTAGCTGGCATCTTTTATAGGAGCTTGCAGGAGCTGTCTCAGAGCTTTTGCCACAACTGTCATCTCCGGTTTTTAGCATGACCTTCTGTTTTGGAGGGTTTCTTACAAATAAAGGATTCTAGGCAAGGAAAATAATCAATGTCTCATAGGTGGTTTAGTACTTGTGCAGGTAAATAAGCGTGCATACAAATAAAAACCTCTCCAAGCCTCAGTGCAATAGATACACAGCTATCATGCAATCCTCGTGCTGATCAAAGCCCCAAATGACTGAAGGGAGGGAAGTTCCCCACTCTGTGTTAAACTAGAGTTAACTGAGATTAAGAAGAGATACCTCCCTTTCTACCAACAGCTGAATGGATGTTGGCAGTAGAGGCAGCCACATGAACAAGTGGCTGGAGAAAAAAGATTTGAGATCCCTGGGAGATATCCCAAGCAAGGCAAATCCCAGCCACCTCCTTTCTGGGACAAAAGCAAGATTGGGGCCCTATTTACTCAGTGCTACCATAGTATGGACTCATCTAAAGAACACCATGCTTTCACTTGCAGCTGATCAGTCCACACATTTGGAGGCTTAGTAGACACAAGGAACTTTAACATACCTGATGATGAATATCTTTAGCAAATACAAAAAAAAAAAAAAATCAGGGCCAAACACATTAGCAGAAAGCAGTCAAGAACAAACCACTATCAAAAGCAAGAAACAAGTTAATACCAAATCCTCACTTTTTCCTTCCTCTCTCTCACCACCTTCTATCCTCAAGTCACTACAGCTAAAAGGAGCCTCAGTTAATCTCAGCCCTTATTTATACACCAGCAGGATAATGATGCTGCCCCCACCCCCTTTATAAATCAAACCTGGTTGTGCAAGATATAGGTAACTATTGATCAGAGTATATCTTGGGGCTTTGCTTTTTCTTAGAAAGCTGGACTAGGAGCATAGCTAGGCTGGAAAAGGTGTTTCTACGGTCTGTCACTAGGTTTTCAAAATTTCTCTTGGTTTCTTTTAGGACTGGACCAAAACCTTTTGAAGATGTAGGAGGGAGGGTAACAGGAGAGTGCAAGCACCCTGTGCATAGCTCACAGCTTGGTTGCAGGGATATTTTCTCCTTGGGTTGTAGAGGAGCCCACTCAAAACTTTGCCCTGTCATTTTTCTGTATTTTGGACAACTGGTGTAGAGCCCAGCCATGCTTAGCTACTCTGGGGTGAATATCTCTTTAGTTCAAAACTTTGTTCTGGATCTGAGAACACATCCCAGCAAGCATACTGGTGAAAACAGTCCATTTTTGGAGGAGAAGCTTTAGCTTCAAGCAAATGGCATGTATTCACAAACGTACCATTTCTTGCACAATTCCCAACTAGCTTTAGCTGGGAGTTGTTTGAAAAGTTTATAGCTACAAATTTCATCCCTCTGGGAATAAGGACCTGTGAGCAAGGAGGAGTGGGAACAGGTGAGGGAACAGAGAGAGAGAGGGGTGGGGGCATGTATTTAGCATTGAGGTCTCTCTCATTCAGAGGAATGGTTTTGAATTGCACCCAATGAAATAGCCCTAAGATCTCTAAGCAGGGAATTATCTGTTAGACTCCAGCATGTTGACAGTAATGTCTGTCAGCCTCTTGATTCTGTTACCCCATTAGTCAACCGTCCCATTAGCAATTATCCTGCAGGCTCTGGGAATTGTTACCCACAGATGAGCGGGATGAGGCAGCCTTGCAAGGGGCAGTGGTGCATGGGGAGAAAGGAAGGTATTTCTGTTTCGCTCAGTTGCTCTCACAGCAGCATTCCTTGGACAGGCCTGCGTGGCTTGGTATTTATTTCTCTGTTGCAAACTCTTAAGAAAAACAGCTGTAGCCCATGACACTTCAGACCCAGCTGCCCTTGCCTCCCCGCTTCTCCCGCTAAATGTATGCCAAACAGCTTAACCAAGGTTATTCTTACTGTGTGGGAGAAAGGAGAGTGGATACATCTCCAAATGGTTTTGTTTAATGAGAGAAAAATTGATGCTCTCATGTCTACTTCACCTGAGAAGTCTCCTTGGGGGTTTTCATTTCTGCTTCTCCAGAAACAAAATTAGAATATTCTGGGGGTTGCTGGAGTACAATGCTTGCCTGTCAATACCCAGGAGTTACATAAAGCCTTGCTTTATAAAAGGTAAAACACAAAGCATTTATACCCAAAGAATGTATGCTCTAAAAATAAAAGAGCATGCTCTTTCTCTCTCTGCCATGTTTTTCCTATCTTGCATTCACTTTCTCCCCCTTTTTTTTCCTGCTACATTGGGAAAATACCGTCTTAACCTGGCAAGGAAAGGGAAGGGAGCTCTTTTGCGGAGAGGGACATCCGACGCACCCAATGGGGATGTGACCCTAGGAAGATGAGCCATTCACATGGTCTTTGCACAAGGCTGCATCACATTGCCCTTCCGTGCTCGACCCTCTCTCATCTGCAGAATTTAAAACACCTAAAACCATGTAACATTAATGTCTGCTTAATCTCATTACGCAAATAATTCATAGGTCTTCATCTGCAAGATTTATAGATGAAACGAGGAGATTTTTACAATTGCCCATCATGTTTAAGAAGCCACATTCATAAAGGGTCTGCTGGATCGGTTTTCCCACAATTATGGGTCTTGGCTTGCTTTCTTTTTATTTTGTGCTTTGGGGCTTGCCTTTCCCTCTCTTCACAAAGGATCCTCCATTTTAAATTGCCTTCTAATTAGAAGGCTCTTAGTTATATGAGCTGGTGAGCTGGCCCCGTATGTTGATAGGTAAACTATTTGCAATTGTACTTTGTGCAACCCAAGGCTGGCTTTTGATCTTCAGATGAATTCTATTCATGCAACACAATGCATTTTTCCCTTTAGTCCTCCTATTTCATATCTTCGCCATTTTTTCTTCTGTAAACAAATTATTACAACAGAAGTCAGCTGCATAGAAGGGAACTTTGGGCTTTGTTGCAAATGTCTGTGGATTTGTGTGTCGAAAGCCAAATTAAAATTACCAAGGCTAAGTAGAGGTAGACGTGAGTCTCAGCTATAGATCGAAGACAAAGCCACTGTAACTTCTCTTTGGTAGAAAATGGATCCATCTTCAAGTGGAGTTACAAGAGCAAGTCATGGGTTTGTGTGCTTGTTTTACACACAGGACTTCTTCACTTCTACTTAGCAAAGGAGGTTGGACCTCCAGCTCATTCATTTCTGGTACAACTGCTGCCATGCCAAGGAAGTTGGTTACAACAGGATTATTTCCTAAGCGTGTTAGAGTACTGTTTTGTTTTGCCTGTGCAGATGAGACCAACCCTGGAGGGTGGTGGCACCGTTCCCTCAACATGGACCAAATGTGGTTGGATCTAACCAAGGCAAAAGGAAATTAGGTTTGAATGTTAGGACACAGCTGGATGCACCTGGGCATTAAGTAACTGCAGTCTAGATAAGGCCAAATCTCAGCCGGTGCATGGTTTCAAGTCATTCTGGATTGAGACTTCAAAGACATTAAGGCTGGAAGGGACCTTGGAAGATCATGGAGTCCAGCCCCACTTCCGACGCTAGAGATCAGTATAGCTTCAATGACGTCAATAGAGCATGTTAATCTACATCATCTGAAGATCTGGCCTACTGACTGAATAGTTTGAGTAAGGACCGATTTAAACATCAAGGCATTTTTCAGAATTTGGCCCTGAAAGTGAGTTATGTTACAGCCAACTCCATAGAAATAGAGGTATTAAAGATAGGAAAATTGTTGGATTACAATGAAGCAAAAAAACCCAACCCCTCATTAATTTTCCCAAGGGCTTTTGGCTCTGAGGATAGGTGTATAGATCTAACCTCATCCCACAAAAACATTCAGACACAAATCCCTGTGTGTGTACAAATAGAAATTAAAAAGAAAATCAGCTCCCCCAAACCATTTTTCCCTCTTCTAATCTTGTGTAGCAAAAATTAAAGCTTGATAAGGCCCAGAGATGAAGGCGAGATTGTTCTGCATTAGTTTCTCTGCATGTCACCTTGTTCCTAGCCAAGCTTTAATAATAAGCATGTTTATTTGAATAGTTTGCTGATATCACACATCAATTTTAGCATGCGGTCTCCTGCCAGATGAATTTATAACCCTTTTAATATACTTGGACGTGGGAATGTGTTTAGACTTGTTGGAAGGAGGGATAAACCAGGTGACTATGGTCTAGGCGGGTTTGTTCATTAGCAGTTCATATCACCTAATGTATTGTGTGATGAGAACAATAGTCCCAGTTTCAGAGTACCCCACTTAACTGCAGGAAAGGGAATGGGGCGACAAGAAGTGTATGTAGCAGTCGAAGGTCTGCTACAAACCCGTATGGTCAGCTCTCAAGGATACCAGGGGGACGAGGGAGGGCAGGGAGCAGAAGTTTGACTAATTAATGGTTAGGATAGTAGACTTTGTAAATGGTTCGATGAAATGTTTTGCAACAAAATTAGCATAAAAATTGTAGAGGTTTCAAACTGTCTTCTGGTCGGCAAATCACCTAGCTTGTGCAAACAGGGAAGATTTATAAGAAGTCCCCGTGCAGAGGGATGACAGAGCTAAAGCCCATTGAAACTAGTGGGCATCTCTAAGTTTCTCAGTTCTAACATGAACTGTCCCTAAAAGTCACCCATGGGGCAGGAGACTAATGTTTGTGAGGGCAGCTATTTGGCTCTGGTTGGACGGACCGGTGCCTTTGTCTGGGTTTGGTGGCTGGCACTGAGGTCCACTGGGGGAATGCATTGCAGGAGGCTCTCTGATTTCAGGGCCTGTGTCCTTGCTTGGAGCTGGCCTCTGTTGTGTGGCTGAGTGTTTTGGAGACAGGGAGAACTTTTCAGACTCTTTGCTTTTATCCCATTTCACACCTCAGGCAAATTGAAAAAAAAACAAACTGTCTCTTAAACTCTAATTCCTGCTTTAATGGTGCTTGTATAGCACAGAAATATAGGACAGCAGCTGCAGATAAAAAAAAAATAGAAATATGATTTTGTGCACACCTGGAAAGAGCTCCCTGGTTTCATTGATAGCATAAGTATTGTATCATCTCATCACATAAACCCAGAATTGCTTGTCCCCGCTGGCTTTTTTCTGCCTAATCCTTTTCAACACCTCTCCTGTCCTCTCTACTCAATCTTGCTGCTTCTGGAACATAAATGGTATAAACCAGATTTGCAGCCTGGTTTTAACTGACCTTTGCTTTTTGTGCCTCCAATGTGCAGAGGCCAACAACTGTAGGAGTAAAGATACTGAGACTGCAGCAGACCCAATGGCTAGAGCAATTAAGCATTAAATGATCAGGTGATTTAATCTGGCCTCCAGCCAACTGGGGCAAAAGTATTACACCCCAAATTATTTGTGCTTGCAAATGGCAGGCCCCAAATTAGGGCGCTGGTGTCTGAAAAGCTCAGCGTGCGTGTTCGTGATCCAAGGGGCGCTGTAGTCAGTCGGGCCCATCTACCAGAGTACATGCCCATGCATGCTGTGCACCTGACTGCAATGTTAATAGGACTACACATTTCAGTAAGCTTTTGCCCAGGAGCACAACTGGACTCTGTGTTTATTTAAAGGCTAACATTTATCCCTGTTGAAATTAAGTTCCATCTCCGATCCCATAAAGCTTGGAAGCAAGTGCTTGAACCTGAACTGCATTAAATAATTCTGCTGGCTTCAGTGTGACTGGGTGTGCTTAAAATTAAGCACATGGGTAAGTACAGGAAGGCCCTTTCCAAATTTCCGAATACTGGGACGTTGTGAGAAAGCAAAAACACGCCAATAAAGCAAGCAGAGCCGCTGCATCCCCAGACACCCTTGGTTACGGTATTTCACAAAGGTGGCTCACTATTAATTATTTATGAAGATACTCCACACTATGCTGGAGAATGTCCAGCAGTATATTTTGTAAGAGTAATGAAGTCTAGACCTCTCAAGGACAGCATTTTCTCTTCTCTCTATTACTTGTCTGCTGAGAGGTAGGGTGAGACTATCATTTTGTGCTAGTGACTTATGGGCCGGGCAGCCTAGGAAAGGGTGAATTAGTGAGGTTTTTTTAAACGCTGTACAATGGTGAAGTCACCCATGTTTGCTGGGAGGGCAGGCTCTGACATTTCATTCAAGTGCACTGATGTTTCTTGGCTTGGGTTTTTAGATGTCATTTATAAAGCCAAAATGACACAGTGAGGGGAACTCTATGAAACCGCCTGCCATTTATTGGATTTTGAACAATAATGGAATAGCAGATTCTCTGCTTAAGACTTGGAAAATGAAACACATCTTTTTTTTATTAACTACTAGAAGTGGTCATTAAAACCATCTTAGCCTACCAGCCTCGGAGGGGAACGCAGAAGTCTCTGAGCAACAATTGCTACAAATATTAGGGCAGTTGAGTTGCTATTAATAGGACAAAAACTGTTCCTTGGGTCTTTGGGTGGCATTAGGCTCATCTGGGCTAGGGACAGAAGTTACCCATAAACTGGTTTAAATGATTAGGAACTGGTTTAAATCGGTAACAGAACAGAAGTTCAGTGCACATAAACCAGTTTCAAAAAGGCTGAAACTGGTTTAAGATAAAACTGGTTGAATGTAGTATCAGACTTAACTGATTTGGGTCAAGCTGGTTTATGAAACTTCTGTCCTAGACCCCTTCCTTGTTCAAGTTCAATCACAGTCCCCCAGCATCCCAGCATGCTTTGCAGTCTGCTGTGCTGTGTGCTCCAGCAGAGAAGGGCTAGCTCTGCTCCCTAGCTGGAGCAGTGAGGGCTGGCTGACAAGGGGAGGAGTGGGAGCAAGCCCAGCTGGGGATGTAGCCCAGTCTGCAGGGTGGGGAGGAGGGATGCCTCCCCCTAGGCAAACCCCGGCTTGGGTCAGGGGCCAGGGAGGGGGACTAAATGCCTGTCCCCCTGCTCAAACTTACTGCTGGCTGCAACTGTGGACTACAACTCCCAGAGGCACCTGGAAGCAGGAGGAGGAAGTGATGAGAAACCCTGCAGAGTCCTGCTGCCGTGATGCTGGCCTGAAAATCCCAGAGACCTCAGGGGCAGCAGGAAGAGGAAGCAACACATAGCCCATGCTGGCTACATGTCAGAGAGCCCTGCTCTAGCTGCCCAGCTTCTGGCCTGAGCCACTGCAGGCCCGTGGCAGCATTTCCTGAATCAAAGGGAAAAGTCTGTTCGCTTCTGTTTCGGTTTGATCTCTGCAGTTTAGACGAAACCTGCAAAGACTGAATCCATTCAGCCTTGGACTTTTTGACTGTCTGTACTTAGCCCTGGAGTCCCCAACAAGCTCAAGGGTAATGTCATGGTCAGAAGATGCTGCTTTCAGCCACAATGAATTAAAAAGGAGCCTGAGAGGGAGAGCAAAGTGTGGTGCTGCCCAGGAGCCAGCAAAGGCTGGTGTAAGAGCCACTTAGGGTCTGTTTTAATTGTAAATGTCTCCTATTGAAAATTTATGCTGATTGGG